TTATTGCTTGTGTCGTGTTCTGACTTGCAACAATGAAATTATATGAAGAATGCCAAATTTATAATGATTCCTTTATTATCATTTAAGATAATTCTAGAAAATTTTTGATTTGTTGGGGATGGGTACATGAACACTTGTTATTCTTATGTAGAAGAATTAACTGGTTCAAAAGGGATGGAACTGTTAGAGGTATCTTATTAACATAACAGAAATTCGTGGACCTACCGCTCTATTGAAAAAAATCTATAGATTAATTTTGTCAGAGGTGTGATATTAACATGACAGAACGAAATATTACGATCGGGGCAATTTTGAGGACCTATCGCTCTATTGTAAAGAGTCGATAAGTTGATTTTGTCAGAGGTGTGATATTAACGTGACAGGAAGAAATATTACGACTAGGGCAATTTTGAGGACCTATCGCTCTATTGTGAAGAGTCGATAAGTTAATTTTGTCAGAGGTGTGATTTTAACGTGACATCTGCGGGGAAGACATTTTAGCGTCTCGCTAGGGAGGATTGCTAACTGATTTATCATCGAAGTGATGAGTTGTGATACCTGTGATTTGAACAAGATTTGGGGAATTTTATTGTCCCATTGAAATGAGTTGATAAACTGGTTATTTACTACTCTGCTGCGGAGAGTTAATAAGCTGACCATGATTTGAGTAATTTTGGAGACTTAGGGGCCGTTTGGTTGGTTTCTTAAAAACCAAGAAAAGAAAATCGGTACAAGGAAATCAATAAAATAATATTTTTATCCATTTCCATCCCTAAAACTCATCCACCACATCCAATAAAATAATATTTTTATCCTCTAACTCATCTCATTTCATCTCATTTCTTACCTTTAAAAATAAACCAAACACAAGAAATGTGTCACATCATCCAACTCATCACATCTCATCTTATCTCATTTTTAAAAATCACACACATCATCAAACCTTCCTTTCCATCCATTTCCTCAAAAAAAACAAGAAATTAATTTCCTTAAGTATGTGTCACATCATCCAATAATATACCTCCAACTCATCTCATCTCATCTCATCTATTTTCTTATTTTTAAAAATGAACCAAACACAAACAACCTCAAAACATCATCCAATAATATTCTTCCAATTCATTTCCTTATTTTTTTTAACCAACCAAACAACCTCAAAACAAGTTTTTTTTAAAAATCACTCACATCATCCAATAATAAGGTGACAACTCATCTCATCTCATCTCCTATTCTATACTTTTCTTCTTTTTTAAGCCAACCAAACAACCTCAAAACAATTATTATAGGAAATAGGTTTCCTATTCTTTGATTTCCCAATTATTTTTGCGAAACGAACAACTATCGTTCCATTGATGAGAATCGATAAGTGGATTCTGACAGAGGAATTATAGTCGTATTGGTATTGATGCCAGCTAAATTTAGACTCTGTGGGGATGATGAACGCCTGGGGTGTAATATTAACCAGACGAAGATTTAAACTCTGCTGAGGAAATACAGACGTTCGACAACACTCTGTTAAAAGAATTCATAATCTCAGGGCATAAGTGTCATGTTTGAAAATATAAAGGTGGATCCTTTGGTTAGGATAATTGCAACGCAAAGGTAACCTTTGCATTTGAGGTTCGACACGCAGAGTTAAGAACTCTCGTAACGCAGGTTTAAGCCTCGCGTTTAGGAATTGAACGCAGAGGTGAACTCTGCATTAAAGTCCAACCGACTTTATCTACTAATGCGGAAGATCGCATTTCAGAGATGGTTGGGCTTCTCTCCTAGAATCCCGTACCGATTTAACAGCTTGGCGGCTGTTATAAATAGACCTGTGTGGTCACATCAAGAGTCATTTGACTCTTTCTACTTTTAGCTTGATTCCAAGAACGAGAATTCTCGTTTGAATTTCAACCGATTTCCCGGCGACCTCCGTCTTCTCCGATCAACCGCATCCATGGCGCCTAGGAGGATGAGTTCTGGTTCCAAGAAGATCATCAGGACAGCCTCGGAGACATCACCGGCTGAGAACGTCAGTGATGTTGCTGCTCTCACCAGTGCCTTACCATTACCGCCGCTGTTGTGTGGGCCTCGTTGTTGTGGTAAGTGGCGGCCATAATAACTTGTTTTGACAAGTTTTTTGAAAACCTTTGATGGGTTCTTGTCAACGAGGAAGATGACTCGTTTTGTGGGTTTTGGATTCCACGTTCAAAACGTAGATCTTGAAGTCTGCGTTCAAAGATTAGAAACGCAAATTTTAAAGTCTGCGTTCAAGATTAGAAACGCAGATTTTAAAGTCCGCGTTCAAGATTAGAAACACAGATTTTGAAGTCTGCGTTCAAGATTAGAAACGCAGATTTTGAAGTCTGCGTTCAAGATTAGAAACGCAGAGTTTGAAGTCTATGTTCAAGATTAGAAACGCAGATTTTGAAGTCCGCGTTCAAGATTAGAAACGCAGATTTTGAAGTCTGTGTTCAAGATTAGAAACGCAGATTTTGAAGTCTGCGTTCAAGATTCGAAACACAGATTTTGAAGTCTGCGTTCAAGATTAGAAACGCAGAGTTTGAAGTCTGCGTTCAAGATTAGAAACGCAGAGTTTGAAGTTTGCGTTCAAGATTAGAAATGCATATTTCGAAGTCTGCGTTCAAGATTAGAAACGCAGATAGTTCCTTTCATTAGCAACTCCCTTTAGTTACTAACTTCTGTTTCTTGTTTCGCAGTGCTTTTTCCTAATGTGCCACTTCTGCCACAGCAGCATTTCAGCTATACTGCCAATCCAGAAGTGGGGAGAACTTTTGGTCTTCATAGAGAAATTCCTCTATGCACTTTCCCTGGCTTGGAGCGGGCACATTTAATTAGGTTTGCCGGGTGTTCCATCTTAGGGCTCTGATCACTGATCTGGATCTAGAAACACCCACGGGTCAGGATCAATTTGTCAAACTGGCGTTTTTGTTCAGAGATCATATATTGGCTGATGACCAAGTTCGGTACGTAGAAGAGTCCCGGATGGTGCGAAAAGTCGATGATCGTTTCTTCTTCCTCCCAAGTATGAAGAGAATGTACCCGCTTTCATACTTTCTGAGTGTCGGTGGTCGTAGAGGTTTGGCCTTCGATCTTGTCAAGGAGAAGGAGAACATATCATTTGGATCCGGTCGATCATCTCGTGTACAAATTGGCGGGCAACTCAAAGGTCTGAGACCTTGTAGATTTGAGAAAAAAGGCCTTGCTCGGGAAGCACCTCTTCCGGCGAACATCTTCATGCGCCAGTTTATTGCTGTTTGGGGCGAATTTCCCACATCTTCATTGCAGACGTCACCCCAATCACATCATATTTTAGCTCTTGTTCCAAACAGGATCTGATCACCCCACAAGCGTTCCTATTCATCTTCTCCCATATCGCCTCATCATATTTAGGTGGCCTCTCGTGGACCATGATGGTCTCTTCCAAATTCTGAGCATTGAGCGCATCCTGTACGTCGCTCATCCACAAACCAAAGTTGATTTTACTGTCATACTTCACTACACTAATCTTAGTGTTCTGCCAACTTGTATTGTACTCGCCATCGATTTGCTGCTTTTACCTTCTTCTCCCATTGCAAACTAACTCTAAATTGTAGAGAAAGAACAAATTTGATAGAAATTAGGACCGCACAACTGAACCATAGATCGGATTCCAATTAGATCTCCTATCCACACGAGGAAAGCGAAATCTCCAACGGCAACTCCTAATACTATCACCACCGAAGCCTAGAACTCCAAGAACCAAGCTTCACACAAGAATCTTCCTCCACCAAACTCCAAAACCCTAGATCTGAAATCTGGGCTCTGATATCACTTGTTGCGCGCCGTGCGGAAGCTTGCTCGACAACCAAACGAGTCGGTGAGCGATGAGAGAAGAAAACCAAAACCAAACACGAGTGCAATTCACAAAATAACGACCAAATCACACACAAACATAGGAATTTACGTGGTTCGGCAATTGCCTACGTCCACGGGGAGAGGATGGGGAGATTTCACTATATGGAGGAGAAATACAACGGGTTACAACTCACAAAATCACTCAAATATAACCCTAACCAAAGATCTCAACTCCCTCACAATATCTCCCTCTCAAAGTGCTCAAAACAATGCTAATTCTCTCATTTTCTCTCCTTAAGATACCCTAAAAAACGTGGTTCTATTTATAACAAAACACAATCCCAAATAGATTAGGATTCTAAAAACGAGTCTGACATACCCTGGTGTGGCACACACCAAACCCATGATAAACATGGTAGATTCTGCCACACCAGAGTGTGGTAGACACCACACCCATGGCAGACAGGGCAGATTCTGCCACACTCATGGCAGACACCACACTAGGGTGTGGTGGAGTCTGTTTTGGGTTTTTCTTCACGTTTTTCATAATTCCTTTGCCGTTTTCACAGTACTTCCGTACATTAGCTCCCAAGATTTTCTTTCGTACATTATTTTTTCTTTTTCCATTTTCGTTTCTAATAAAGTGTCTATCTTTTATTATTTATATCCTAAATTTTATTCCGGAAAATGTAAATCCACCCAAATTAATGTAGCTTGAAATTTTTTAGAGTTATTTGCTTAGCAATCTGGGTGGCACTCCGATTATCACAATGAAGAGGGGTTGGTGTGGAAAGAACCAACCCTCAATATACTCCAAAGTTTAGTATTTGCAATACTACCCCCCAAATTATCAAACCATGTGAAAGAAATACCCTAAAATCAACAAATCATCGACTTGGTCCTAGAACTTTGAATATTTCATTGATAGTTTTTATATTATGATTATAAATTAGCCTATCAAAGTTGATAATTAATTGCTTTGCGTATAAGTTTTTTAAAAATTGATGATTTGAGGGGGTAGTTTTGCAAACACTGAGATATGGAGGGTGGTTTTGCAAATACCCATGATTGAAGAGGTATATATGCAAATAACCCAACATTTTAACCATCCTGTGAGTAGTCATAGGCAATAAGGATAGCAAAAGAGTTTTTTTAACTCATTTACCAGAGTGAAAGAGGGGAGGTACACTTTGCTCATTCCTAAAAAAGTTATCAGGATCAACTTCGGACTTCACCTCAGCCAACCTCCTAAAATTATCCTTAAAATATCTCCTCCCCCAAACATTTGCCGTCAAATAACTATTCGCCCCCTCTTCATTCCTCCCCAAATCCAAATCTCTATAGTTATAATAAGCAGCTCTAGGATTTTTCGAAACGTAGGGAGCCATGAACTCATAGAATCTCTTCGTCCAGTTCAAATGCTTACCCGTGAGCTCACTTCCTTCGGCGACATCCCACTTCACCATGTACTGCAAGTTGTACAAACTCCCGTTTCTATGCGGAAAAGGAGTTTCGGATTCCGAAATCTCATCCATCCGACCTCCGAAAGGGTCGAGTATCACGATCAAGAACTCATTCTCCTCGGAAAACCACTTCCATATGTTGTCCCACCCTTGCTCGGAAACCGGCTCCTTGACGAAATCCGACTTCGCCTTGAACGGCGCGAAGAAAGGGTCGACAACCCCCCTCTCCGTGAGGGCGCTCTCATTCTTTCCCCCTGACAAGTAGCCTGAGAAGTACAGTACGCTCTTGATCCAACTCATCTCGGTGCAGTCCTCCTCCCGCAACCCGAGTTCCGGGAAACTGACTCCCATCAAGGGAAGTAACTCGGCTTTCGAACCGAGGAACAAGGAATTGAAGGTGGCCTTCACTGTTTTGCTTCCCTCCTCGTCTTCGTCGGGCACGAGCACGACCCTGATGAAGAGCCTGCGATCAAGCTCGTGAGCGACATTTTGCCACTTTGTAACTAGCTTAGTCGCGCCCTGATTCAGTGTTCTGCTCGCGCTAAAGACCGTAACGTTCGGAGGAACCTGCACCAACGTGACCTTAAACGATAAAATGATACCGAAACAACAACCGCCTCCTCTAATAGCCCAGAACAGACCCTCGCCCATCGACTTCCTGTTCTGAATCTCACCATTAGCGTTGACAAGTCGAGCATCAACAACCTGATCGGCTGCCAGCCCGAACGCCCTGACTAGGGTTCCGAGGCCCCCACCACTCAGATGACCGCCGATTCCCACCGTTGGGCACACCCCCGCGGGGAACGCGACGTTAGGCCCTGCCTTTTCGGATATTGCATGGTACAATTCACCTAGGGTCGCACCTGACTGGACCCAAGCCGTGTTGCTAGTCACATCGATGCTGATTGATCGAAGATTGAAGAGATCGAGGAGGATGAAAGGGCCTAAAGTAGATGTATAGGATAGGCCCTCGTAATCGTGGCCACCACTACGAACTCTCATGTGGATTCTATGCTTCTTCGCGCATGTAATAGCATGCTGAACATGCGATTCGCTAGTTGGTGATACGATCAAGGTTGGGTAAGTATTTCCATAGATTCTTGGATTTTGGATGGAAAAATTCAGGAGGGAGCTAAAACTGTTTGAGTCTCGGGTGGTGATCATACTAGGCGGAATATGGTGGTCATCGAGGAGGCAGCGAAGAAAGGATTGGTGAGAAGTGGTGGAATTTGAAGAGGACGAAAAGAGAAAAATGGCGATGGCGATGAGGAAGAGGAGAACGAGGTACACGGAAACAAGTCCGAATTGATCGCTCTCTTCATTCTTTTTCTTCATTGTCTCCTCTCTCTAATGAAATAGATGAATATATTATACGGTCTCGGTGTACAAGCTTAAGTATATTGTTGAAGGAATCATGGCATTTGCGGAAAATTTGGAACTTTTCGTTGTGTGTGGATCGTAAATGATGAGGGATTGAGGAATCTGTATAGCATGGAACTTGCAGTTGAAGATTGATGCTCTGCCGGCTTTATAATCTAGTGACATTTGTTCGTGATCTACAAAAATTCTTTGCACGTAACAAGAGACAATTTGTCAAAACCAAAGTTCCAATTGCTACAGAATTAAAGTACGACGGAATAACAAACAGAAGAATTAAGGAGGGGGGAGTTCTTACTATTAGAGATCAAGAGAATACAAATAGAGTTACAAATCTCACCGATTAAACCCTAAAACCAAGCTCTAGATCCCTCACAAATCTCCCACAATTTGATGCAGCAATCCTCACCCAAAGACTGCTAAAAACGTCCTTACTTAACCCTAATTAATCAGGATTAGAGTTAAATACTAACTCAAAACGAAACGGGTTGAAAACCCAAAGCCCATCCCAAAAACAACGCGCGGTCGACCGCAGCGGTCCACCGTGCATGTATCGCGGTCGACCGCAGCGGTCGACCGAACCAAAACCCGAGAGTAGAATCCATTACAGAGATTTGACCGCCTTCTGATCCAACTTCTCCTGAGCTCTTGTGCATGTTCGCGGTTGATCGCCAGTCTGCTTAGCTGCTGCTTGGCTGCTTTCTGCGGATTTTCTGAACTTTTGTCGCCACTTCTTCACTTACATTATCCTTCACATGAAAATCTCACTCCTAATTCAATCCCTGAGCATTTGTACGTTATATATGGTATCCTATTTGTTCACGTAATGCAAATTATATACATAATCCTCAGCGTGTGCAAGCGAACTGATTACGTGATCAAAATGGAAGTATATATACTCCAAGTTCTGCATGCATGCAAAAGCTCTCATCTTATATATATAAAGGCCGTTAACCTCCGTGGTTTCTCACATCAGTCGACCTCCTCCTACATTACGAGCAAACAAACAATTGATCCTCGTATATATATAATTCTCTTGCAATACATGTAGAGGACCTAAGGCCGCGGTTCCTCCATAACATCAATTAATTGATGCTAAGAAAGAAGCTAAGCTTTGATGATTAGTGGGCAGGTAACTAGAGCATGTCAACGTGAGGGGGCCCACCACGTGAATGAAGCAATCACGTGTGTGAACGCGTTCACGAACGCAGTTTCATTACGTGGGGGCCACAATGTTGAGAAAATCGGCATGAGGAGATCTTCGCGTCAGATTTGCAGGCCCACGAACCGAACCCTATAAATACTCCTATAAATACTCTTCCTAGGGTTTTGTGCAGTTTGGTGCAGGAGGAGAAAAAGGGTGCAAGATTTTTTGCGGCTGTTGTGCAGTCGACTTTTCTTTCTTTGGCGGCGCTGGCAGAGAGCAAAAGTAAAGGGGAAGAAAAATAGCGGCTGCAACAAGGAAAAGTCTTAGGGCTTCGTGAAGAGAGAAAAAGTATTTGAAGGCTGACCTTTTCTTGAGAAGAAAAGCAAGGAGTCTATTTGAGGGCTTAGATTGTGATAGTTGTAAACATATTTGTATTCTTTTTCTCTCTAATAGTAGATCCCCCCTAGTTGCCCCGTGGACGTAGGCAGTTTGCCGAACCACGTAAAAATTAGTTTGTTTGTGTTTATGACCATTGTAATAATTTTTAGGATCCCTCGATAAGTCAGTCCTAGAACTGATGAGAGGAAGAGCCGATATCTTACATTGTTGAGATATTCGCTCCAAATTCATGTTTCCTTGGTGAGACAAGAATTCTTATTGATCTTTCTCTCTTATTGTGCACTAGAAACTCTGCCTAAATTTCCGTTGCGCACAACAAATGGTATCAGAGCTCGGGCTACGCTTGGGCTATTTGGAGGAGTAGATCAATTTGGAGGCTTGTCTAGGGTTTCGTTTGGTGATAAAGGTGGGATATTTTGGTAAAGACTCTATCTTTTTAGTTTTGGATCTATTCTTCGTTCGTTGGTGCGTTGAGAAAGATGTCGGGAAAGAAGGTGCTTCGGGTGTCGAGGGTGGTGCTTTTGGCGCGAAGACCATTCAGAGTTTGAATATCCACTCTATGAAGATAGATGTGGAGAAGTTTAATGGCACAAACAACTTTGGATTATGGAGATGCGAGGTTTTGGATGCGCTGAATGCGCAGAATTTGGAGGATACCTTGGAGTTAGATGGCAATCCAGATGAGATTGAAGAGAAGGTTTGAAAGAAGATGAATCAAACGGCGTGTGGTGTGATTAGATCTTGTTTGACTCAAGATCTAAAATATGATGTGATGAATGAGACTTCTACGAAAAAGATTTGGGAGATTCTCGAAAGCAAGTATCTGACAAAGAGTGTTGAGAACCGCTTGCATTTGAAGAGGAGACTTTATCGTTTCCAGTTGAAGAAGGGAACCTCAATTAGAGATCACATGAACACCTACACAAAGCTTCTTACGGATTTGGCGAATGTGGATGTCATGATTGAAGATGAGGACACGGCGTTGCTGTTGTTGAGCTCCTTGCCCGACGAGGAATATGAGACCACTGCTAAAAAATTAGGCATCCTAGACGGAAAATTCCGTCTAGGATACACAGAATTCCGTCTAGGATGCATATCCTAGACGGAATTCCGTCTAGAATACCCTTCTAGGAAGTTTCCGTCTAGGATGTAATATTCTAGACGGAAATTCCATCTAGAATACATCCTAGACGGAATATTCTAGACGGAATTTAAAACCGTCTAGAATACAATATTCTAGACAGATTATTCTAGACGGAATTTTCATTTAGAATACTACATCCTAGACGGAAAAATTTTCCGTCTAGAATGAGTATTCTAGACGAAAATTTCCATCTAGAATACTCATTCTATACGGAAATTGATGTTTTTTATTTTTTTTATTTTTTATTTTTAAAAAAGGCATCCTAGACGGAATTTGTGCATCCTAGATGGAATTTCCGTCTAGAATGTCATGCTACAGTAGTTTTTTTTTTGGCAGAACCTGATTTGGGTGCATGTACACAATATTGAACAAAAAATTATATTCATATCCAACACAATCTAATTATATTCCAATATCAAATCCCATTATATTCAAATCCAACACAATCTAATTATATTCCAATATCAAATCCCATTATATTCAAATAATACATTCACCAAAATAGTGTTTCCTTCCATGTTTATGACTAAATAATACATTCACCAAAATAGTGTTTCCTTCCATGTTTATGACTTTTCAAGATAAAGACCGATCAAAACTAATGTGCAGTAAATATTAATACCAAAAGTTTACATGCAGGAGGGATTTAATAAGAAATAACTAAGACTACATAGAAATATGAACTTTAGCTGTCAGAACATTGTTCACATTGGTCACTACCTTGAAGAGGAAGCTAAGTTGAACAAATAATTCATCAAATTTTTTGCTTCTACAATTGAACGGACTTGATTCCAACGACCACGCCCACCAAATACACGCTCATGCTCCTCAGCTTCTGATAATTGTGATGCCATAGATACAAGGGAACTAGATGAAGTCGCCAGCATATTTTCCAAGGCAACGATTCTTGAATTTCTCGCACTTGGAGACATAGTTTGAGGAGTGTCACTATAAGAGAGGCATAAAATTGGATGAAGTAATAAAAACTAAAGTGCATAGAATTTATATGATTAAATGGGAGGAATTGAAAGATGAAGTACCAACCTCATGATTTCAAGGAGCCTTACTCTTGCAATTGACGCTCATACTCTGAACGCACTTCATGCACTCGCAATGTAATGTAACTTCAAGTTCATGCTCAATGGCTTGCATCAGAGCCTTAAAAAGGATAAACACTAGATTACACAACAATCATGTGTGAATAAGTTAAATGGCATATATAACTTGAAAGTTGGTTTACACTACCTGAATTCCAGGACCATTTGCATTTCCAGAACCTAAAAAATGTCTGAATTGTTTGTTTATGAAGCTCATTCTATCTTGCCAAAGGAGACACTGGATATGCCAAGGCAACTCTCCAAGATCAAAGAACAAACGAATGCCATCAAATTTCACCTTGAGTGCTTCTGCAGAAGGCCATGTTGATGGCACAAGTGTGATTTTGCATCCGTAAGATGCCAGGGACCTTAAGATATTATGTTTGATACCGAAATCATAGGCAACGACCTACAAGAGAGAAACACAAACGATAATTAATAAATAAACATAAATAAACATGAAATATTAACAACTTTTTTTAAATAGATTTATATCAATTTTATCTTTAATAAAAATAAATAATTGAACAATACAAATGCTAAGACATCCAAATCTCTCAATGAGGATAGGCCATAAGAGTTGTAAACATAAGCATCTTCACCACAGAACTTGGTGGTCCACTTGTCCTAAAAAAACATTTTAAATTTGGAACAATTTGAGGTTTTACCATTGATGAAGGAAAATGTCGCCGCTGCAGTTCTTCCCGAAATTGAGAACCAACCTTCCTATACATCTCCTACAGGGAAAAAACCCAATAACATGGATTAAAAACAATAATACACCATACATATGTCGTATGCTGTATCGTTACATGTACATATATGATAAACCAAAATACATATGAATACCTGGATGTGCACATGCAATACACCATGGTGCAAAAAAGGACAAGGTAAGAGAAAGATCTAGTAAAACTTTATGAGTTATAACAGGCACCAACCCTACAATGCAGACTTCTACATCAATTCGATAAATTATCTAAAATCTTTCTTTTGGACATATGTCTCGCATTTGAAATCGTCTGGGTTATCAGCTATAACAACCAAACCCAATTTTCAAAACCTCAAAACATTGATTAGAACTACAAAGTGCAAACCAAAAAGCTAAAAACTAATTACCTCTAGGCATATTTTGAGAGCTTCAAAGGAGAATATCCCACCACAATTGACCTGACTCTAGGCATATTTTGAGAGCTTCAAAGGAGAATATCCCACCACAATTGACCTGAAAATAGTACTCTGAAACCATATTTTGAGAGCAACAATATTTCAAACTACATAGTTTGAAGTATATCTTCAAATTGGCAGTGTTTAAGATACTTCTTTTATCATATCTCTTAGCTCACTAAACAAACAATGTTAAAGTATGTAAATTATGGCTTGAGTCTACACTATTTCAGCTACTATATTATGTTACTTTACCTCTATATTTTTCCACCTCCAGGCATATTGATGTCAACTATGGAATACCATTTGAAAGGAACATATATATTAATTATACTGAAAACGTACATCAACTGACTTTTATGGCCTTATTCATTATAGTTACTCAATCACAAACAAAAAGAACAGGTATTTACCTGAGTAAGGAGATTGTAATCAGTGGGAAGCCTCAAGTCATCTTTGCTCTTTTTATTTTCAGTCAAACGACTCACCTACAAGAAAGAAAGCAAACTCCGATGTTAATCCCTAGGCAACATGCTACTGATGGATGCCAAAAAACCGAGTAAAAACAACTGTAAGAAGACTTACAAAGTCGTCCTCAAATATGTCTATGAGTTGATAGTCAGTGTGGTTAACATAGATCAAATCATCTTCATAAAAGCATGCTGCTTATGTACTTCTGAGAGATTAAAATAGAGAAATGGTTTACATCACCAGCTTACCAATTGATAACTTTGCAAACTTTGCATTGTGAAATCAGAAAATTTGTGGATACATTTGTGGATAAATAGGTTCTAAAATTTGCCGACACAATCACAATAAACTATACCCATAGATCCAGGTTTGGGAAAAGAAGTAATTAAATAAGCAGCATACCGACTAAATCTCTCGAATATAAAACTATGATCTACTTGTCCGTGTTCATTGTTTATTCATCACAGTCAGAGTTCAGGGGTTTCTAACTATAGAGCACAAGTCTTCATAACAAAATAGCATCTTTAGATGTCCAAACACATAATTGCAATAATCCGAGGTGCTAAGCAACTTAATAGTCTGTAATAACAAACATATTCCTCTATTAATTTATTCTATTCCGCTAATTATTCCTTAATTCCCTAGCAGACATAAGCAACCGACAATATTTTCAAAAAGAAACTAGTTTCCTTACGCAGGATGATAAAAATAACAAAATTAACTTCAAAAAGTCAGCTTTACGGCTCCAATTTAGCACATTAAGGTTTCTAATTAAATAATACATTAACAATTCAAGGGATCATGAAATTCCTACCAGTACCGAACGCTATTGCACCTCGAGCACTTCTTGGACCCTGCTCTCCCACACACCACACAAACAGCATCAACGTCGGCGCTGCCATCTCCGCTGATCGACATCTGATGGAGGGAACCGAAACCCTCTCCGCCAGAGATGTTGGTGCTGGCGAGGCAGTGGCGGACCTGTTCTTGTTCAAAGTGGTTCATTTGAACCACCTCAGATTTTGAAATAGTATATATATCATATATGTTAGTTTGTGAACAAATGTAATTTGTAGCCTAGTGGTATAAGCATTAGCTTACCTTCAAAGAGGTCAAAGGTTCAAAACCTCCTACAGCCTCTTTATGTTTCTAATTTCTCCTATAATCCTTATTTTCTCTTTACATTTCTACTTTCTCCTATTTTCTCTTTATTATTATTTGTTTATTATTTTTATGCTTTCCTTAGTAGTATTTGGAAAAAAAACTAGCGTTAATTTCGAACCACCACACGAGAGGTTGTGGATCCGCCACTGTGGTGAGGGATTTGAGGATGGCGGGGTCGGCGCCGTAGAGGCGGAGCTTTGAGCTCGAGGTCGAGAGGAGGAGCTTCGCGGTCGCCTCCGGTGGCGGGAGATTGTCGGCGACCTGGCCTTGGAGGGAGAGGGAGTAGAGGGGGAGGGAGGGGCCGGGGTGTGAGGTTGAGGATTTGGGGGGATGAGGCTGATTTTGGGATAAAAATTTCCATTTTGGGGGGAAAATGAGGATGGTTAATTTTTTAACGGGTTAATTTTTTTCTTAAATGGTCAGTTATTCTAGACGGAAATTTTCAACTAGAATGATTATCCTAGACGGAAATTTTCGTCTAGAATAACTGGTTATTTAAAAAAAATAAAAAATAAAGAAACCATCTAGGATACCATTCTAGACGGAATTTTCCATCTAGAATATTTTATTCTAGACGGAATATTCTAGACGAAAAATTTCCGTCTAATTTAATACATTCTAGACGGGAAAAATTCCGTCTAGAATATGTGATTTTCTACTAGTGGACCTTCGTCCTTACTTTGATTAATAGGAAGGCATCTCTTTCGTATAGTGAGGTCACTTCTGCACTTGTGAATTATCAGTTTCGAAAGAAGGATAATGAGGCTTCAGTTAAGCCGGTAGCAGAGGCGTTGACCGCAAGAGGGAAGGGTCCAAACCGAAAGAATTGAAAGTCACAGTCTAGAGTAGGACATCCTACAATTGGAAAAGATCAGTGTGCTTGGTGCAAGGAAAATGGTCATTGGAAGAAAGACTGCCCAAAGCTCGACGAATGGATGAAAAATAAGCAGAAGGGAAAAAGGAAGCAACCATCATCAGAAACAAATATCGTATCGAATGGTAATATTTCTGACTCTTCTATTTATTCGCTTTCTATCAGTCCTACAGATAGCTATTCGGAGGAATCTGAATGGATGTTGGATAGTGATGCGACCTATCATGTGTGCCCTAGAAGGGAATGGTTCTCCAGTTTTGAGAAGCTGGTGGATAGTGGTGTGGTGTACATGGCTGATAACCATGCATGTCAGATCCTTGGGATAGGAAGAATTCGCATTAAAATGTTTGACGGGACTGTTAAGGAGTTAAATGATGTGAGATATGTTCCTTCTTTGAGAAAGAACTTGATCTCGATTGGAGCTTTGGTTTGAGAGGGTCTGAATGTTCGAATTGAGGACATGGTTCTCAAGATTATGGAAGATTCTTAGATTGTGATGAAGGATGTCAGGAGGAATAACCTGTATTACTTGACTGGAGGTATAGTGGTAGGTGGAGAACTGGCGACTTCTATTGATTCGACTAGACTGTGATATTTGGGGCTTGGCCATTCCAGTATTGATTTCTCGCATAGATTGAAAGAGGGTATGAAAACCTACAGTTTGAAGTCCAGTGAACATGTTGATGTGAGCAAGAAGACCGAGGTAAAGTTTGACACCTCTATTCACCATGCTAAGGGTCATTCTGGAGGAGTTCACATGGATGTTTGGGGGCCTTCCAAGGGGGCATCATTGGGAGGTAATAGAAATTTGATTTCCTTTGTTGGTGGCTGTTCTAGACGAGTTTGGGTTACAATCAAATCCCCATTAGAGAAAGTCCTAGTAGTCTCTAACAGTTTGAAGAAGTGTAAGATGGACAGAAAGGTGAAGGTGCTTCATTTTGATTTTGATGGGAGGTACAAGATGGACCTGTTTCTGTATTGGAGCCGAGCTCACGGTATTTCGAGACACTTTGTTGGAAAGGAAATCTTAAGGCAATCAGATAGGATGGCAAATTTGGAGAACCATGCCTTGTTGGAGGAGGATCGATGTTTGTGGTCGAGCAATGGTCTGCAGAAGAGTTTCTGGACTGAAGGTTCGATATATTTGGGTCATCCTATTAAAGAGTTGTCAACTGCTATGATTGGAGGTAAAACTCTATTAGAAGATAGGTCTGATTATGTCACTTTGGATGAGGCTTCAATGAGAAAGTCAATTGACTCTCAGCAGGTGGAGAGTTTTGGACAGACCTTAGTTATATCACAGCAGGTGGAGATTGATGCTACTCCACATTAGGTGGGGATTTTTCCATATACTCCAGGTCATTCTGTATTGGTTGGGATTCTAGCTGAGGTGACACAGCGTGGGAGTCATTTGGATTCGGATGCAGATGATGAGTTGATAGATCCGAGTGCAGCTGGTGGATGTAGCTTGGATACGACCATTGGTTCACCTCAGGTGGAGGTGTTTGAGGCCATTGGAGGTGCAATCAGCCGCAGAGTTGA